CACACATCACATAAATTTACTCCCTTTAACAAGGTTTCCTTCCTGACTGATAATGAAGAAAATTGTCAGGGCTCCTGAATTAGCAGGATTAGCAACCTTTTAGCCCTCAGATATGCTCCCATAAGCCTGACAGAATTAATTGTAGCCAACTCCTGGAGTCTCAAACCCTAATATGAACGGATATGGGGAAAGGGGAGCTAAAAGGGATTCTATACACTTACATTTGAGCTAATGTCTATAAATATGTAGATAGATATATGCAAAGATCCAGACCTAGAGCAATGACTATAACATTTTTCATAGAATCAGAGTCTGATCAGAAGTTATTTCATTGGTATAGGGAAATTCTGTTGATGACATTACAGACTCCACTGCTGTGCCATTTTTCAGTCTTAGGGAGCTGCCTAGGGCACTTAGAGGCAAAATGACTTGCTTAGGATCATATAATCAACAAGTAGAAGAGTGAAGACTTGAAACCAAGATGTCCTAATTCCAAGGCCTGCTTTTGAACAGCTGTACTACACTGTAGCTCCGTCTCTCCATTTCTATCTCTCTGTTTCTCTGTGTGTGCTTCAATCAGTTTGTCCTACATTTCTATCATTCCATGTTTCGATCTATCCAGATTTATATTAATTTCTCTATTTCACATACAACTACATATACATATATGTATATCTATTTAAACATATCTTATTTACGTGAATGTATGTCTTCATATACTGTTGTATATGAACTAGATATATTGGGAGTTGGTTGGAGCTCTAGGCAGAGAAAGATGCATGTAATGGACTGGCTAAAATTGTATTTAAAGTTTTTCCATCAACATTGATTACTAAGTTCAGCTTATAGTTATCTCTCTCTGCTTTGTCCTCCCTTATCGACATATTGAGATCTTACTTATATCATAAAGAATATTTGATAAATTATATTTCCTCTAGCATTGATATTTTTACAGCATAAATACAAAATGTGAAAAAATTACTATTAATTCAAATTTAAATATTTTGAAAATCAAAAGAACATTGGCCTGTACCAGGAATTTTCATTCATAATTCATTTTCCATTTGATTTCTTTATCAGATCAGGTCATATTTATCTCCTTTTCTTTTTCTTTTTTTGTTTACTTGGTTATTTTCATGTATGGCATGCAGCGTCCTCATTTATTGAAATAATAACAAATTGCCCAGTTCCCCCTAGACCTGCTCAGTCCACTTTACAATGTTGTTTCTGGTGAAGAAAACATGGTGGCTGTTAAGGAGATAACCAATGAGTGAAGCATGGTTTAAACTTCTCTTACGTTACAGATTGTTGACTTTTACCATCTATCCTCACTCCCATGATGGCTTAAGTCAAATCAAACCCTTGGACAAATGAGTTTGAGAGTGATGATTATTCCTCAAGAAGAAGCCCAGAGATTTACAGGAGCTGAGCCAAAAAGTTAGAGTAGAGAAATTATTCAGCTGAGCCTTCCCAACATTCCCCTCCAAACAATTTTAAAATAATGCCTCAAATAACGTACTGGAGTGGCAGAGCCAACAAAAGGTCACAGTGAGATATTCTTCTAACCCAAGACAACTTTGGAGTTTGGAAAAAGACACTTGTGATATAGTGGTGGAGGCTGACCCAGAGACCACATGGATGAAACACCAGTGGTAGGACTAAGTGGTGATGACAGAAGCAGCAGCAGCTTTGGGAACTCCCAAGCCACAGACAGCAAGGGGACCTGGCAACTGACAGAGACTATAGTGGTCTGCCATGCTAGCACTGGATGTAGCACCAGACACTCTTTGGAAACTCCATTGCATATAACCACTTCTGGGTCATAGTTCAAGAGCAGGAAGGAGCATTTTCTGCCAAGAGGGAGTGGAAGACCTAAGGGGTAATATCACTTCCAACCGCAAGGAATCAGTGGCCCTTCCAGACCAAAAACCAGAGTCTGGGCCAGGAGAATAGCGGCCACACCTCTCCCCAGATCACAACACCTAGAATCATCAAAAGCTTCCAAATGCCCAGAATTAGCTCAGAAAACATTTGTATATTGCTAAAATTACTCCTTCTCTAAGTTCCTTACGCAGGTGAAATCTGATTTTTGAATGTTCCTACTCAACATCTATAATGCATTGGAGATTCTGTGATCACTCAATGTCAAACCAATACAGGTTCCTAAATTGCGCCATCCCAATAGCTCTTATTCCATAACCCTAGAAAGAGGAGGTATTCCATTAAAGTATTATGATTGACTGAGCTTCTGGGAGGTCTTACATCTGTTGCCTCATTATAACATTCAGAAGCCACTCCGTAACATTGAAGATGCTTCTCCTTGACTTTCTTAGTGGTTCGTCATTTAAAGGAAAATAATTTTGAGACATAGGATTCAGCATGGAGAGAATTTCATTTACTATAGATAAAATGATATGATTACAACAATGAATGAAAAACAAAAAAGAAACAAACAAACAAAAAATGAAGCCAACAAAATAATGTGGTAACCATATGGTAACCAGAAATATTTTTAACAGTTTCAATTAAGTTTTCCTTAAAGACTCAAAATCTCTATCAAAATGTGGGATGAAAATGTAGCAATGTAAAAAATGATGTCCACAGTAATAGCAGCCAGAAATTTAAATGTGAGAAAATAATAACCTAAGGATGATGATGATTTTCTTTTTGTAATGTCAATAGTTTATTAAAGATAAGACATCAGAAGAAAATTAATTGTTTGCCTAGATAACACCTTAACAATCTCAGAACTCAGTTAGGAAGAATAATATTTCACAGAACATAATTAATATAACTATATACATTGTTAGAGTTTATTGGAAGCATAGAGATCTCTGGATCAATCACTAAACTTTAAAGGTGATATAACTGAGAAATAGTTTTTCCTCAAAGGTCCATAAGCAATTAGTTAGTAAATTGGTATTAAAGCCAACTCAGTGCTGAACTAGTCAACTAATGGCCTAGATGTAAATAGATAAATCCACTGTGGTATGTCTCACTCATTCTATCCAAACATAATGGAAAGAAAGTACATCAAATTCAACAAATTAAGCAAACATTTATTAATGATTTACTATGTGAAAGACATTGTGCTTCATTCTGGGTTTATAAAGCTAAAAATGAAAAGTAGTCCATGCCTTCAGGCAGATTGCCTTCCACTTGGAAATTCAATTTATAAGGAGTAAAGAAGATATAAGATAATTTAAGAAGTGGAAAATTGTAAGTAGAGATTTTCAAAATAATAAGCATGGAAACAAATAAACAAACCACAACCCGTAACATATTTGATCATAACTGGTTGTCATTTCACATCCAGCAAGAATTCTCAAGGTGGTGTTAAGCAAGGTGTTTATACAAAATTAACCAAATTATCTAGTTTTCATTGGACTCATAAAGTGAAGTAGTGGATTAATTTCTTGTATGTCAATAATCAGAATACCCAACAGTATAGAATATAAACATTAGAGAAATACAAATTAAATAGATAAATGTGATAAGACAAAGAGACCATGGGAGTCACAGGACTTTCTATTCAGTTCAATAAATTCATTGATGTCCTCTTGTGTGCAAAGGGTCAACTTGGAGAATTTTTCTGCTGTGAAATAGCTCATGTTTTATGAAGAAAGACCCAGTATGAATATGAGGCGGTATAATGGGAAAACTATATGATAAGAGGTACAAAAATTCTTTGCAAGGTATAGGGAAAGATTATTTTAAAGTTCAATGTTCAGGGAAGACTTTGTGGAGTTCACACTGTTGAAAGATGAAAAGTTTTACACCAGGTATAAGATCTGGAATTACCCTGACTGGGGAAGCATTTAACTCCCCCATAAACGTGAGGTTTCTGTTTGAAACCAAATGAAGATGCCAAGTATCTCCAGACTGATTATAGGTAGTAGTTCAATCATTCATTATGAATACTTCCAAAACAGGTGCAATCTTTGGTCAGGGATGGTGGCCGCACAGTTCAGTGGATTCTCATAAGAAAAACCCAAAAATCCCTGTCATAATTATAGGAAACAGAGAAAGGGATGAGGAGCTAGAGAGTGCCCCACTACTGATTGGTGGATATTTTTGGCTTTCTGCTTGGTAATGAGCTTAGGAGTTAAGCCAGTGTTATGCCCAAACATGAGTTGTGGTACTGATCATGTGCCGGACACATATGGGTCATGATATTCTTGTTATAGATTTCACAGGTCATAGTTTCTTAAGTTATGAATCACTATCTAAGTAATGATTTTTAACAGGTCATCACATCCAGGCTTCTATCTTTCACAGAGTTCAAGTTTTCATTGCTTTTCATTTACTACTGTATTTTATGGCTTTTCCCCATTTGACACCTAACAGATGAATTTGAGAGAGGAACATTGCCAAAATTTGGAAAAAATATGAGCAAAGACACTGAGGTGAGAAAATAGAAAATAGTTTTAGAGTGATATCTTTAATGAATGATTCCTTTGTTGGACTGAAACAATTATCTAAACTGAATATTTGGGGAGTTCATTTTTTTATTTGTAAACAAAATATTAACTATTAATTTCACTTTTAAGATAGTGATTTTGTTACCTTGTGCATATAACATCTCATTCTAACATTCCTTTATTTTTTTTTTAATTTTTCAAAGATGGACATTTCCTTCCAGGGAAAAAGAATGTTTTCATTATCCTGCAAAGTGCAACCTTTATTTTTGTATTCCTCAGACTATAAATAATAGGGTTCATAAATGGAGGCAATATTGTGTAGGTCATAGAAATCAGAAGATTCTGGACTGGTGAAGTATCTGATATAGGACCCAAGACTGTGACCATGCCAGCAAGAAGGAATAAGAAGAGAATGATCAATTGTGGTAAACAAGTAGACAAGGCTTTGTAGCGCCCTTCCACAGAGGGCATTCTAAATACACTGGAGAAGATATAAGTATAGGATATAATTAAAAAACCAAAGCAGAATAAAATTAAAGTTGAACTCGTGGCAAGGAGAATATATTCAGTATCACGGACCTCAGAAGATGAGACCTTCAAGATATGAGGGATATCACAAAAAAACTGATGGATCGTATTGGATCCTGAGAAAGGCAAACGGAACATATTCCCAGTATGGACAGCTGAATAGAGGAGTCCACTGAGCCATGAACCACCTGCCACCCAAAAACAACGGAGTGGTGTCATGGTGACCCCATAGTGTAAGGGGTGGCAGATGGACACAAAGCGGTCATAAGACATAGCCACAAGCAAAGCAAATTCAGTTGCAACAAAGAAGATGAGGAAGAAAATCTGAGCAGCACAGCCATGGAGAGAAATGGATTGATTGCCTGTCAAGGAATTCACGATGAATTTGGGAAGAGTGACTGAGATGCAGCCAAGGTCCAACAGGGATAAGTTGCTGAGAAAAAAATACATTGGAGAATGAAGATGTGGGTCAGTGACAATGGCAGCGATAGTGAGGAGATTCCCCATCAGGCCTGCAATATATATCAACAAGAAAAGAATAGCATGTAAGACCTGCAGCTCTCGGGTGCTAGAAAACTCTTTAAGGAAGAATTCCATGATGATCGTGCAATTGATCTTGTCTTCTCGGGTCCTGCAATTCATCTTGAAACAATATGAGTAGAAGATATCAAATTCTAAAAGTAGAGCACAGAAGTACTTTATTACACAGAAAGTCCACAAACTTCAATCTATTCTTACTAACCACGTTAGAAAGGCAATAAGATCATTTTAAAAGGCCATAATATGACTTACCATTTGACTGCAACCACATTCAATCCATAAATTGAAAACATCTACCCAACTATACAAACTTAGCCAACTTGAATTGACTTACTCAACAGCACCTCTGCTCCTGACTTGTCCTACACACACACACACACACACACACACACACACACACACACACACAACACTACAATTCCTAGGTTGATTCCCTTCTGCAAGATACCAGCATATCCTGATGCAAAACATGTATCTGTATACATACATACAGATAGGTAATAGATGATCAATAAATGTACCATTTATTGAATAGTTTGTATTGCCAGGCACACTGTGCTGACTAAAACTTTAGTTTTCAGTGAGGCTTTAGTCACCTTGACAATGTGTACTCCATGAACATATGCATTTCCATTTTTTATAATGTCAAAAGTCTGTTATCTTTTTCAGACTTTTGGAAGGTGAGATCTACCGAAAACCTCTACTGATGGTCAGAAACTCTTTCATACACAACTGAAACATTGTTGAGGACCTCTACAATGTAAATTTCTCACTATCTGGAGGGATCTTTTAAATTGAATCATAGGATACTACACCCAGAGCTGCATGGGATTTTAGAAGTCATGTGCCCAGCTCCCTTAATTACAGAGGCAGCCTAGACAAGTACAGGACTTTCTTGGTCTGCCACAGGTAGTGTGTGCCAAAGCCAGTTTGTAATCTCAGATCTTCAGATTCCAAATGGAGCACTCTTGCCTTTGAATGTACTCAAAGCTATGACCATAATTATTTGCTTTAAATCCTTTAACTTTTTTCTTGAAAATAATTAGAATAAGAAATATTGTCTTCAAGAAAAACAAACTTTCAGGAGCTTTATTCTTATGAATTATTGTCATTATTTGTTGTAATAACAAAAAATTCATTACTGATTGAAAATGGTTTTGATAGTATATAGCATTGTCCTCTGCTGTACATTGATAATCTCTAAGGATCTGTTGTAAAGACTTTTGTTTTCAGTAGAGTTATAATCATGCTACCTCAAATCTGGTCTTATTGATTTAATTAATCAGTTTTGATGTAATCATTCCTCTAAGTAACAATAATCACCAAATGTGTATTCAGATATACTGTGAGGATAACTTTGTTCCTGTCTTATCTTAATGACTTCGATTATTTAGTTTCTTTTTTCCCCTATTTTTGGAGTGTGCAATTTTTCGTGACGAGAGATACAGTGTTCAAGCCAGGGAGTCAAAAGTCCAAGGTTTTAAAAAGAAAGAACATGTTTTTGTTCCTTGTCACTTACATGGCCAATCATTCTCTCTGTCTCTCTCTCTCTCTCTGTCTCTGTCTCTGTCTCTTTTTCTCTGTCCCCATAATATATTAAATGAATACTTTAATAATATTATTTAATTAGATCTATGATTTTATCAAAGTAAGAGTATATCAGCAGAAATTGCAACTTCAATTACATCAACTAATAATAGACTAATGGCCTCAAGCACTGGGAAGTTAAGTGTTAGGCTAGAGGCACAAAAAATAGTTTATGTCACCGTCTGGACTTAAACGCAAGTCTTTCTTCCTACGGGGTCATTTCTCTAGCTACGGTCATGCTGCCTATTAAATAACAATGATAGTGATGTTATTAATTATAATGATGATATTTGTAACAGTGATTATTTTATTGACGCAGAACATGTTCATAACAAGTTACACCTTGTCCAAAGGAAATAATTTCCTTGTGTACGTACCCATAATCCTGAGAGATTGGGAGAGCAGATCGTATCCCACTTTGATAAAAATTTGTAGAATTTATCTCAATCTGCATATTTGAAGTTACCTGAGGTAGAGACAGTATCTTTTTGTGTAGGAGAGAACAATAATAACAGCCAATATTTACCTGGATCTATTTTGCAAAATATTTTACGAATATCACGTTCACAGCTCATACTTTATGAGATGCTGCAGGTGTTATACCCATATTATTGATGAGAAATTGCAGTTCAGAGAAGTTAAATGACTAGCTGTCAGTTGCACAGCTACTCTATCCCAGAGGAAAGATTTGAGCTACAATTTTCCTTAAGTCTGCCATACCATAAGGACTCTCTAAGGAGTAATGTAAAATGCAGAGATCAAACGCCAGACTTCTAACACCCTTTTCATTAACTAAGCAAATTGATCATTCAGAAATGAATATCAAACAAAATAATACCAGAGTGAAAATTTAGGGCATTTCTCCTTTCCAAAATTCATATTATTTCTTTTTCCTTACCAAATCCCAGGTGCTAGATAGCACAAAAAGATTATCTCTTTCCCCACTAAATTGTCTCTTTCTCATTTGAAGCTTCAGAAGGCAAAGGTAATTGAAACTATACCATGTGAAGCTACCAGATTTGCCGAAATTTTTGATGAACGTTAGACGAGTGGAAATATACTGCTCAATGTCCCTTAGAGAAATGTTTCATAAAGTCCCCAGAGAAGCCAGAGTTATAATGTCATTCTTATTAACCACACATTCTCTGATCTTTCACTTCAGTATAATTAGTTAAGGCAGAGGTTATTTTATTAATAACATAGAAAAAGAAGTTCACCCTTTAAAATTATAAGGTCCATTAGGACTTCTGTGGTCCATGAAGATCTTCCATGTAGCCTTCAACCTTGTCCAAAATGCAAGTCCATTTCACTTGGTTTCTTTTAAGCATACTTTAAAGGAGATACCTTGATCTTCATAGGAAAAAGTATCAAGTATACAGAGATATTCATGTCTGTGTATCTAACTCTCTGCCTATTAGCTGTATATGCTTGTATTTATATGTTTATATCTATAAATATCTGTTTGCATATAAACATATGATATAGTTATTTTATACACTGAAAATATATGGACTTTTGGGGGCCAAAAATACCTACTGTCATTTCATTAATATCATTATTTGTGTGTGTCTGTATGTGTGTAATGGATAACATCAAGCAGGATAAATAAGAGTTCCATACCTAACGAGGAAAGTTTGATCTTTTATGTACATCTAAGAATTCATGGACAAAGAGCCATAATCATCATAATCTGTTGGAATTATATGAGTATAAAAGAATATATATATATAATTAGTGTACATATATACATACATATACATATATGTATACATACACACACACACACACACACACACATATATATAATATATATATATATAAAATCCTTTAGGGTTTATATATAGCTTTATGAGTGGTAAATACAAACTGGTAATTATTTACTTAGAATAGATAACTGACACTAATGAAATTGCCAAGAGAAGCATTATAGAGCATAAAGGTTAGAGTCCCATATAGAGAACTAATGATATACAAAATTAGTTGATATGACCTGAATGAGGATCCTCAAAGGTAATTCAGGTGAAATGGCCAAACAGGTAGAAGGAAAACAAGGAGAAAACAAGGTCACCAACAAAACACAGAGAAGAAAGAGTTCCGAAGAAAAAGTTTGATTCCTATGATTAAAGGCTTCAGGGAGGTCAAGAAAGATAAAGGTTATGAAAAGGCCACTAGAATCAGCAGATCTTTGGAAACTTTGGTGAGAGAAGTTTCAGTGAAATGTTGAGGTTGGAAGGTAGTTTGCAAAGGATTTACAAACGAGTAAAAAGAGATAAAAACAGATATATTGAAGCATAAACTACTTTCACAAAACATCTAGCCATTTAGGAGGAGAGGAGAGATATAAGATGATAGCTATTGTGAATGGTCTAAAAAATATTTTCTTCTTCTATTAAGGTTGGGGTAGGTGAACGTGTTTGTATATATCTGGGAAGCAGTCACTGAAGAAGAAGATATTAAAGATGAACTAGAAAGTGGTTATAATGCAGAGGTGAGGTGGAATCTATAGAAAATGGGATAGAATAAAGAGTGGATTGCTTTAGGGTTTTGCCTTTGCCAGAAAAGGAACCATCTCTTCAAGTGAGACAGAGACAAAGGAGGAGAGAGTTTGGTAAGGAATCTTGATGAATGACTTCAATATTTTTCTCAGAGAATTTTAAAGAAAGGTCCTTAACCCAGAAAGTGAGGGATGGGATGTTGTAAGAAGTTTGAGGAGGAAGAGAATAGGTTGGAATAGTCATGTGGTGGTTGGATTAGTGAATAAATTATAGAAGCACGAAGGAATTGCTTTGTTACAGCGTCCTGTTGATATTACTGGACGTCCTCAATTTGTATTGAACCCAGGCAGCAAGCTTTGGTGACTTTGACCACTTCCATTCCTCAACACATGAATAGGAGTGTAGGAGACAAAAGATAGGAATAATCCAGGTTTGAGATTTGACAAATGCATGGTTGTAGGACTCCCAATAGGACAATGGGACAAGGAACTTGAATGGAGTGAATGGTGAAAAGTTGAACAGATTTATCAAGGGGTTGAAATAGGAAAAGGAGAAGAGTGTAACTAATTCAGGTTTGACGGCTTTGAGGAGTGGAGTAACTGAGGGATGGAGGCATTTGAGATCATGACAATGACAAAGGAGTTTCATGGATGAGTGAAGTCTGGATGAAAAAAGACCTTGATGAAATGAAGGAAATTTGGAGTTTCTACTCATGGAAATAAAACTATTTTATGTAATGGGTAAATCAAGGTTATATCCATCTTTGTGGCTGAGATGGAATGGAAAAATAAGTCATGGGGACTGAGTAGTTTGAAGAACTGGGAACCTGAGGTTCTTCAGGCAATATCAAAATGCATAGTGAAAGCTCCTAGCAGAAAAGCAAGATTTGCAGAAAAAGATTGTGAATCGGGCGCTGAACTCATTGAGAAAGGAGGGATAATATTGGGGGGTTGATAGATAACAGCTACTAGAACTTTTAGCGTATATTAAGTACAAACTAATAAACCTCAAAGGAGATGC